TGCTAATCCCACAATGGGTTCGTCTACCTCGGGAGTATTCAACAATTTTAAGAAATCAGGGGCCACTGTCATAACCCATGGGGGGCAGGGTACACTGCTGCTAAAATAGTGGCTGGTGACTGCACTTGGGGAGCTTCCATTGCCTGAAAGAGACTGCCTAAAGGCGAGGGGACACGGGCAGCCATGCTATGCCCTGAAGAGGCTGGGGACTCTGCCTTCGGGGAGCTTTTGTCGGCTGATAGAAGCGGCCTCGCAGTGAGGGGCGTGTGCGTGTGCGCTCGCCCCGAGGCCGCTTCTACCGGCCAATCGAAGTGGCTGGTGACTGCACTTGGGGAACTTCCATCACCCGAAAGAGACTGCCTGATGGCGAGGGGACATGGGCAGCCTCGAAGCCTCGCCCCGAAGCGGCTGGGGACTCTGCTTTCGGGGAGCTTTCGTTGGCCGATAGAAGCGGCCTTGTGGTGAGGGGAGTGCATATGGGCCGCTCTAGGTGGGGGAGGAAATTAAGTCACCCCCGAAAAGATGGCCTAGCCATTTTTTCGGGGGTCAAAAAAACCTAAGGCCCGGCTTTATTTTGTGAGAAATACGGTATTATCCTTTGGACTAAACTGTGTCTTCCTGACATAACTGTTTATATTTTTTCCAATTCTGGTGTTGAAATTGCCAGCCATAGGATATTTGCATTTGGTAATGTTTATTTGGCTCTCTTTAAAAAAGGATCTGCAGGAAGAAACCTTGAATTACAGATCTGGGTTCCATCTTGTTGGAAGATAAAACATTAATGTTAAGAATTAACCCAAAATATGTGCTATCTATTTGAACTGCCTGGGTGTGATCACTGTCTTGACAGGCAGGGGATGTTATATGAGTGATATTCTGGCAAAAAATGAGAAACATCCAGGCACCATGTCTCCTAATCTGAAGAAAGGTATTCAGAAGGCCAAGACTGATTATGAAGATTGAGGATAATTTTTATAGCAATAACATGAGGCAGGTGTGGTGAGGGATTCAACAAATTACAAACCATCAACCGACCAATGTCATCCCTGCTGAGGGGGATGCTTCATTGGCAGAGGAACTGAATCATTTCTTTGCTCACTTTGAAGTGGAGACATCAGAGACAGATAAAACACAACTACCAGCTAATTGTAGCCCTCACCTCATTGTGGAGGAACAGGAGGTGAGGAGCATTCTGAGGGCTGTGGACCCGAGAAAGGCTGCCGGTCCTGACGGTATCTCTGGCCGAGTGCTTAAAGATCAGTTGGCTGGAGTCTTTTGAATTCTGCTGTATAGTGCAGTGTTGGTGCGGTGTCGCAGATTTTCGGTTCAATGTGTGGAGGGTGAAGGATGTGTGTTCGTGTTTATTTCATGGTCATGGTCATGATGTGCACTGAAGACGGTGTTTGATTTTGTTGTACGAGGTGCAATGACAACTAAACTATATAAAATGTTAAATTCTGACAGGTTTTGCTCAAAATAGATATTCACCAATTTACTGTGCCACCTAGCAAAATTCCAAGTAATGGCTTATATGGAGTCCTTTGGTGGCATTCAAAGCATTATGTTCTTGTCTTGGTGCAAGAAGACATACTGATAATGTTGTGGTGATGTTCTCACCAGCTTTGGATATTTTGGATTATGAATTAGTTAGCTGTTCTTGCACATGGTGAGATGGAAATCTTGGTTACAATACTTTATATTGTTTCATAAATTCTAACTGATTAGAAACAAAATCAAAAAATTGTTCTAGGTCAAATTGATCAGTACTTGCAGTAAAACTCACAGATTTTTCTGTGTCTCAGTTTAGGAGGTTTATGGAGAGGATTCAAGCTGTCAGCAGATGAAATAATATTGTAATTGTCCTTGAGCAATATTAAGATGTTTTTTTACTCACAGCCCAGATGTATCCTTACAGAAAAGTCTTACTGGATTTATTGTTATTACTTTCATGTACATTTGAATAAGATGAAATTAAAAAAATGTTTTGAAAATTCTCCCATGGGAAATATATGAGATTTTTTGCATTTAGCAGTTTCATAGCTTAACGAATCCTAGCAGATATGAAGTCTAACTTGCTGTAGAGTTTTAGAGCTTCTATCCACACACTAAATGAATTTACGAATAGGCCTTACTTTCACAGAAAGTCATAACTTTTCTTCTCACCGATTTCTCCTTGTATTAGAACTAACCCTGTTTAAACCAGATTAAACATATTTGTGTAATTGCACTCAAAACAGGGCTAAGATACAAAAATAGTTTCTAAAATTTTTAATTAATTTTAGCCAAATTAAATTTAACTGAAGCACAAAGTTAACAGAACATTAAAAGTCTCAAACCATGTTATGAATTTTCATTGGCAAAGGAGACAACTTTAGGAAAGCAGGAAACCTGTGGAGCATGGATTACCAATCTGTTGTGTAAAGTTAATAATTCAACTTAATAATGCTTTCCAACAATAAACCCCAAACAGACATGGATAATTCAAAGCAAATTCCTAGTTTGCCTTTAACACATATGTAGCATGGATGGAGCCAGGATACTTGTGTGTCTGTTTTTCTACAGTCATTTCTGTTTACTCAATCCGAATTGGTAAAGTTGGCATGCTTGAGGTCCCTTCCATTGAGTTAGGCCTAAAGATTGTTTTCTGTTGTAGCAAATGCCCTATGGAACATGGTCCTGTAATGATCTGGATGACACTGACTCCTCTGGCTTTTTGCAAAGCATTAAAGATCTGGATGTACCTTCAGACACCAAGTTGAGAAGGTTAAATTTGTCCTGTTAGTGAATTTGTTGATTGATCTGTACTGTTCGGTAATGGATTTTAGACCCTGGGATGTATTATGCATTACTGTTTTCTATTCTTGTACGTTTTATTGGTTTTAATCCTCTATGCCATCCAGAGCCACTGTTTTGAGATTGGTAGCTACATAAATTGTCTAAATATAGAGGTAATCCTACTCCCCCGTCTCCTGAAAAGCCAACGAACCTTAACTGAAAAATATTGGGATATGAGGTTAAATTGTTATTTTGTCTGAAATATATAAGATATGTTCAACCAAAATAAGCCACATAATGCCAGTAGCTTAGTATGTCTGTGGATATTTCATCCGACTTCTGATGTTGTCCCTTTAATTAAGCTGAAACAAATACAAACCCAAATACACAAACTAAACGGAAAGCTGGAATCATCTTTATTCATTATAACGATTTCATATTTCCAGAAAAAGTGATGGATTGCTACAATTATACTTTTCACTTTGGAATAACACTACAAATATGACCTGGGAAAAAAGGCCAAGTTAAAAGCCCTTGTCTGGGGAGGGGGACATAGTAGCATTGGTAGCAATTGACCTTATTGATCAATGAGAATTTTATGTCTAGCCATGCCAATCATGATTATTTATGAAAGACTTTAAAATTTTTAAAATTGTTACGGCATAGCTCCAAAAGTTGTTTCTTTTGTTGCAAACAGAAAACATACCACCGATTAGTTCTCATTTACAACCCTCTTCTGTTTTCCCATGATTTCTTTTGCCCTTTCTTACGACTCAAAGGGGGAAAAAACCTTGAAGAACAGCTGAAATATACTTTTTAATGGTAGCCTCTCTCTCTCTCTCCCTCTCTGAAGGCCAATTAAGGTTCTTTTTTTTCCCAGTTCCCCCATAATTTTCAAAGTTCTGGACGTTTTTCAAAGCCCATTTGGAATTTACACATCTAACTATATTTGGTTTCAAGTAGTTTACAAGTACGTACCCTAATCCTTGCCCCAGTAAGGCTGGTTTGGGTCCAAAAGGACTGTACTATTTGTTTTCTTACTGGCAAATACATTTTATGAAAATCTATTCCTGGTTATTTAAAGGACAGTGCCAAATCCTGATATTTTTAAAATGCTAACCTAATTATCTATAGCTCTGAGTGACTTCAGGTCTTGAAATATCATATAAACATATAAATAGAAAAATATGACCTACTACTTTATATACGACTCCTCTTCTTACCTAATTAAAAACAATATTTTCCCAGAAACACTTTTATACCTTGGAATTAAGTCAATGTATACTCCAAAGAAAGCTTGTTATTTGGGGCTTTAAAAAGCTAATGTATACTACAAACCTTAAATAGCTAATTACAGATCTGGGCAGCAGAGAGATTCAATTATATTTATATTTGGATTAAAAAGGAAACTACATACTAGGGTAAGTGAAGGAATTTGAAAGAAGTTAATGTATCTCATTGTAACACAGCCACAAATAGATCATAAAGATATTTCTGATGAAAATATTTGCTCATGAATACAACCACAGTACAATATAATGTTTTGCTGTCATTGATAATGGACAGATTTCCACTTTTTGCTTTACTGTATCTGTGGCTCTCATCTTAATGTACATGTCACTGAAAGATGTGCATTAAGTAATTGCCTTAATTCATTTTCTCAGCTTTTCTTTAACACAATGGGTTTTTATTTTATTTTAAGTTATTTAGATAAATTTGCATAACATTCCTTAACATTAACAGAATTTGTCCACATTGATTTCTACCAGTATAGAACCAGCAATTTTTTGAACTTATGTTTTTTAGACTGGAACATAACTTTTCAAGAGTTTTGATTCCTAGAGTGTAATCTCCTCAGTTTGAAGGTCTATTGGACTCCTATAACAATGAATCTGAAAAGGAATTCAAGGCTAGGGAAAATGCCTCTAGTAAATAAAAGGAGACAACTACAAGCAGATATAGACCAGATCTGTTTTCTGTGGGGTAGACTAAAGCCTGTTGTAATAGCTGATGTCTGATGTGGCTTTTTAAGAATTACAACAACCAAAACACAATATGTTATAATGAATATGGCTCTGTTTTTTAAAGAAGTAACCATATGAATCTATTCTTTTTGTTAATGCCTAGTTGGTTTAAGGAAAGGAAGGATTTCCCAGTCTGGTAGATAACATATTGATATACTGAGGGATGAAATAAAGCAAAATGTAGAAAAAATAAACAAAATGAGGCAACTGCTACAACTTTATTTAATCAATTCATGCATTGAAAGCTGGTAAGATGATGAAACTGATTCAACTATCAATGCTATGTACTTATTGTTAGAAGAAATCAATATGTCCATAGAGATTACATTTAAGAATATAATAATGTAACAATATAGTAGTTTGAAAACAAAGTGTTGAAAATTTTGAAAACAAAAATTACATTTAAAACTGTTGGGATTTTAAAAAGCTATATAGATTTTTTAAAAACTTCTGTGAACTCAAATTCACTAGATTTTAGCTGTGCTGAATGGAGAAAGCAATATGCCAGAGAACAGACTATGCAGATTGGTCTATAAAACTGATTTTTGAACATTTCATTGCATTCTCAACCATTTCATTTAACACTTTACATTTTTTACGAGTGCCATATCTAAATGATACAAATTGCTCTTAAAACTGTTTACTTGAAAACAAGTTCTAAAAAATATCAGGATTAGCTTTTGGGCGCAGAGCAGATTTAAATAAGAGAAGCAGTAAAAGGGGAGAAAAAGCTTTCTGATTTTTAAAATAACAGAAATAAGAGTAGAGGTTATGGGCTTTATAGTAGCCAAAAATTAAACTATAATAGTTGAAACATCATACCACATTTCACACATGCTTATGATAAAGTCTGAATTAATGGTAATAATATTACTATAGTATCACTTTTGGTTATTTCTTCTTCTGTAGTTCTTCTATATAATTGACTGGAATTATGCCTATACATTCTTCAGTCCGCTCTATACGATGTCTTAAAACAGTAGATCTGATTATATCAATGTCCCGTTTTAAATGGTCCATGAGATTTGTAATAATCGTTGGAGCAGAATCAAAGTCTACCAAAAAATACCTGGAGATAAGGGGAAAAAAACAGTTAAAAAGGTTTTATGTTAAAAGACATAATATATGCTGTATCTTGTGAGATTGATGAGAGTCTAAACTGAAGATGGTCTTGACCCCTCCCTTGATCTCAGCCTGAACATTTCTACAAAAAGTTTAACTAAATTTAAGCAAGAATGGCATCCATATATATTACACAGCAAGGTAAGTATAAAACTAGAGTATGGTTTCTAAAATTTGCTCCAATAGTGGTGTCAAATGGTGTGAGAACCCATAAAGGGGCAAGTCAGAATTTAAATATTTACCTATATTATTTTCCTTTTTACTTTATTATTATTAATGATATCCCCCCCTCAAAAGAACAGTGCTTCATCATGGTTGAGGGGCTTGTGTCTTCTACCAATGCTAAGGGCAACTATGACTTGGATAACTAAGAATCTACACAGACATTCAATATGATGGTAATACATAATTTGAATTCCATGCCAGATTTATTGTCACCCAGATTAGCAAGTGTTGTGTTGGATCGATCTGGCTTCTGGGCATTCACTGAAAAAAGCGTTACAGGGTCATCTCCCTTTGCAAGGCAACCCGGCCATTAAGCTGACAGGCTACGGGAAGGCAATATAAAATTTGTTAAAAGGAAAACTAATTATGGAATGTTTCTACCAATCAGAACCATCAAAACATGGATTTCAAAAGTGAAAGTATCAGGTGTTTTTTTTTTGGAGGGGGGGAAAGCATCTGGATTTAGGATTAATGAGCAGATTTATGGACTAAATTAGGTAATTTTAAAACACAAGTTCTTTACCAATGTTGAATTGGAAGCAAATGAAAAACAAGCAACTTAAAATTTCGGTTAATTCCAAAATACCAATAATAATACCAATTTGCAGAGTGAGTAATGAACAGTAAAAGATGAAGAGTCTATTTTAAATTAACGAAGAAAAAAAAGATTAGCCAGGTGCGGTGGTGCGAGCCTGTAATCCAGCTACTCCGGAGGCCAAGGCAGGCGGATCGCTTGAGCTCAGGAGTTCTGGGCTGCAGTGGGCTATGCCGATCGGGTGTCCACACTAAGTTTGGTATCAATATGGTGATCCCTGGGGAGCCGAGGGCCACCAGGTTGCCTAAGGAAGGGTGAACCAGCCCAGGTCAGAGATGGAACAGGTCCAAAAAAAAAAAGGACTGAAGTTACCAAAGGGTTGAAAGCACTATTGTTTAATCAAAATCTAGCTGGGAAAATCAAGGAATGAATGAAAAAACTGAAAGAATACTCTTGTCAAAATTGAAACACATTACATGAAAACTTTGGCTAAAATGGGGAAGAATATTAATAAAATTGTTAAAATGATTCCAATTGCAACACTGGCGCAAGCAAACTCAACAGATATATGCTGCAGCCAACGAAAATTATGGACTGTGCTGAAATGGGTAAATTGACATTTGAAATTAGAGGACAAGAAGACAAACAATTTTATATGATATGGGATTTATTTTATCAATGGTTGGACAAAAAGACATGGTAATGTAACAGACTAGATAATTCTGTGATAGAAATTTAATAGATTGATATAAAACATAATATAGACATATATAACCATTGGTTGAAAGTATAGCATAAATTTTAAGATAAAACTTGGAACATCTCATATAAAATGATGAAATAAATAGTTTAGTCATGGATGATTAATAACTGATAAATATACAAGCATATGTTAGTTTGACAATGTGAAAATTAATATAAACTGTGAGTAAATGACTACAAAAGGGTAACACAAAAGATTTTTAACCAACTGACACACTGTATGTATATAAAATGGAAGATGGTTTTATGTTTTATGTGCGTTTGTTTTTAAAAAATAAAAATTCTTTAAAGATATATTCCGCAGCCTGCCTAACCAGTTGTTAAGTTCTTTAAATAAATATTTTTAATGTTGGGAGAAGGGAAGTTGGCACTCTTCTATAAAGAAGAGATATGAGAAATAAAAATATTTTTATGACTTTATTATAAAATGCAATAAGCTGGAAAATGGAAAGATAACTTTAAAAAAAAACAGCTTTATTACTTAGCCTTTATTGTTCACCTGAAAAAGGTTCAGAAACTATACACAAGGTAACATATGTCTGCATTCTATGAATCTTGGTGAAGTATTTGGTTTGAAAGTGACTATCCATTTGACAGAAAGTTTCCCAATAAATCATGTGTCCATTAAGCTAATACAAAACATCTCCAAGATTGGTCACATTTCTCTCACTTCCCTTTTTCCTTTTTTTCTCCCTAATCAACTTGCTTGCTGAAGGGTTTCCAAAACTCACAAATACATGCTATTCAACCAAAAGTTGTTCTTATCCTGAGAAAGATGGAGGAGCAGGCTGTTTAGAAAAATTGTCATCCGTTCTTTTTTAAACTGTACCCAATTAAATTGATACAGATATAAAAAGAGCCATAATAGTGCTGAATTTTGAACAGATAGTTTTGTATATTTCCCCATGAGGACTGGGGAGATGTTTTCTTTTTTAAAAAAGATACAAAAATGAAATGTGAAACTTACAAATCTGTATGTGATAATGTGAGTACTTTCTATTATCTCTAACCCATTCTATTGCTATTCTATTCTATTGCTATCCTCGCTCTAGAATTTCTTCTGGTTTTTTTCCGTCTGTTTACAGCCAATCTGCACATTTACACAATGTGTTTTACTTTACTTCTTTTTCATCAGCCACTCTTTTTGCAGCAAAAATGTATTGCTTTATTGGGCTGCTTTTCTCTATTTGCTAGTAGCTGCAGATCTTTCAAAACACCGGTCTCTTCCACTCTCTTCCCACACACACCTGTTTCAAGGTTGCAGCTTTATTGAACTATCTGCCAGGCTGGGGGGGGGGGGTTCAGATGGGAAGGGAAGAAACCAGCAAAGATGTCTACAATTTTTCTAAGCAGTCTGGTCTTCCATAAAAATAAACTGTATTTTTCCTTAAAGTCTGCCTAAAAAGAGAAAATGATCTATTTTATATCTTATTTCCCCTTTACCTGAAATTCTGTACTTTGAACTTCCAAAAACAAGTTGGCCCTAATTAAGCAGCTTGTCTTTCATTCAGCACTTCAACCTACTAACCAGACTGGAGATTTCTGTGCCTTTGGAAATATTAGAGATTTATTTTTCATATGCTGCAAATGCTGCCTAAAATCAACTTAAACTTTTCCCCTCTACTTTGATCAACATAAAAAAAGATAATTTTAAGTTCTGATATTTTATTCATGAGCCTACAAGAATAAAAGACATTAGTTTCATGAGATCAAGAAAGATCTTCAAAATACTATTGTCACTTAGATATTAATAATTCAGCACCTGCTTTCATTGGAAATAAACAGTTTTGAGAATAGACTATGATGCTGAGAACCAGTGTTTGATTATATAATTCTTCTAATAGTTTACACCCACCCACCTGCATAAAAGAGGAATAGAAGAAAATAAGGAGATTTGGCAGATGTGGGCATACATAATCATTATTGAGCCATCTATTTTCAAATGATGTTTCTTTAAATGAAATGGACACAAATATTTGGTTAAAGCATGCTTATAAACACTATAGTATTTAATTAATCGTTCCACAAAGGAGGCTGCTATTCTTCACCATAACCTGGAATTGATTCAATGGGAAAGGTTCAGCCCTTATAAACAATCTCAAAACTGAACTAATGCTTCATTTTAAAAAAATGCTGTTTCAAAATATTTGACCAAAATGGAAGGAAGTGAAAACAAACCTCAATTACTTTGTTTAAATTCACACCAGTATTTTATAGGAGTGTTTTCTTTTAAGAAATTTATGGATTAATCTTTAAAACTGCTTGAATCAAGCCATTACAGAAGGATGTGAAGAGAATGTGAAAATGAGGATAGAATTCAATTTTATATGATTGAATATACAGAAAAAGCTCAACTATCATATCCAACTTAATATATTTCTTTTCAAATTCATCCTATTGTGTTTTTTCATTCTAATATAATAACTATTTTTACTAAAACCTCAAGATTCACCAATCAAAATTCAATGTACGCTAAACAATTTACATTTTTCTCTATTTATCTTACAAATCTCATGCTTTCTCTTGGATAGGAACTTCCAGGGAATTCATGAATATAGACTAGACTGGAAAGTAAAAAAATTCTTAAAAAGCAACAGCAAAACCAATTACATATTATTGCAAATGGCATGGCTGTATCCATGAAGTTACCAGGAGTTGAGCTTGACGTTACTCCCATTTAAAGACTGGGGGTAGAAAATCCTTGCCAGCTGTTTACAAGTTTTTCAAATATATACCAACAAATCTATCTCAATGTATAAATTATAAGACAGTACAGTGGAGCCTCTGGTCATGACCATAATCCGTTCCAGGACTTCGGGCGCAACCCGATTTGGTCACGACCGGAAGCAAGACTGATTGTGCATGCGCGCACAAAAAAAAATTGGGTGGAAGAGGAAATCGCCACAGCAGGGAAAATCGCTGCAGCTGTGTTTTATTGCCACCCAAGGATGTGTTCGCAACCAGAGTGAAACATTTAGTGAATTTTTTGGTCGGCACCCAATTTGGTCATGGTCAGAAGAGTTCGTGACCTGAGGTTCTATCGTAATTCTTTAGAATGAGCTTCTACAGAGCTTTCAAAAGTTTCTTAGACTCCTTATGCGGTAATATAGAAAACAGAAACTTATTCAGTATTTACAAGCTATCTTGATTTCTAGAAATCTTGAAAAATCACAGCAACTCCTTTATTCCATCTTTAGAATATTCCTCATTAGTTGATATACAAAAGAAGCTAGCAATACCACTTAGACTTATATACCGCTTTATAGTGCTTTTCAGCCCTCTCAAAGCGGTTTACAGTCAGCATATTGCCCCCAACAATTTGGGTCCTCATTTTACCCACTTCGGAAGGATGGAAGGCTAAGTCAACCTTGAGCCTGGTGGGATTTGATCTGCCAAACTGCAGTAGGGATATAGATAAAGGGTATTTGTAAAGAGACCTATATATGTCATTATATAATATATAAAGGAGGTTGTAAAGTAGCCTTGACTTGGCTCCACGTACTGATTATGTGCCTGGCAAAAATGGCACCCAACAGATTATTTCTGTAGAAATAAGCCTTAACAGAAAGATGTTACCCTAATTCCACCCTAATCAAAGTTTTGTCTCTTTCTTTCCATTTTTCACCATCTCCTCTGATTAAGACTCATAAGTTTTGAAAACTTGACCCAGGTTTGGAGTTTAGATTTCCCTTTTTAAAAATGTTTCAATATACAAAATTTGCATTTTTGACAATGCCAACTAAAAAAAAAAAAATAGATCTCCCTACCATTAGCCATGCACAGTTTTTCCAGCAAAAATAGGCTACTCCAAAAAGGGATAGTTTAATGTAGCCTTTCCCAACTGGTACCTTGCCATGAAATTAAATACATATTAAATACATTTAAATTAAATACAATATAAGGCAATATTTGTACTCTATATTTCCCTTCAAAATATCAGCTACAAAGACTTAAGAAAAAAAAATGTTACAAAATTATTTCTTCCAAATTAAAAGAGAGGCAGATATCTAATTTTACACATATCAAAATTAAAATGTTTATTTAAATTAAAATGTCAAGGTTATAAAGTCGACACTGTTATTATTAATTTATATCAATATTAATTTTATGGAATTCAAATATATACTAACAAGCTACATTCCCAAAAGAGACTTTTAAAAAATCAATCAGCAATCAACAAGCACCTGGATCCAACCTTTCTCACAACTCTAATGGGAAAACAGTTCTCAGATGATTTGGTGCCCATGGGACAGTCTGTTCAGAACAGGGCCAGAAAAACTACGTTTTATGAACACTCAGCTTCAGCTTTTTAAGAATTTATCATCATTATTTTTAGGCTCTACCGTTGAAAACTTATTAATATAGCTGATTATGAGATTTGGAAGGTGACTAGAAAAGTGCCTTGTCTACTACCTCTCAGGGCTCAAACTGGGTTTCTCAGAGGTGCTCGGCATGTAAACACATATGGAAAAGATCAACTTACCAGTTTTAACATCTGAAACATGGTGAACCTTCACATATATAGGTCAACAGTATTCCCTAGGCCAGGGGTCTACAATCTTAAACACTCAAAGAGCCATTTGGACCCGTTTCCCACAGAAAACACTGGGAGCCACAAAATCTGGGTTTGGTGTGGCCAACTCAACATTACTCACTCCCATCCAGTCACATGACAACCCCTGCCCCCAGCCACACCTACTCAGGTTTTGTGGCTCCCAGTATTTTCTTTTCTCTGGGAAACTGGTATCTCTCTCTCTGTGTGTGTCTCTCTATCTCTCTCTTTCTCTCTCCTCCATTTCTCTCTCTCTCTTTCTTCCTCTCTCTCCTCTTTCTCTCAACTCTTTCCCTCTCTCTCTCACATCTCTCTCTCTCTCTCTCTCGTGTGTGTGTGTGTGTGTGTGTGCGCGCGCGCGCGTGTGTGTTCCCTCTTGAGCCATTTCCAAAAACAGTCGAGGGTTGAGAGGTTTTTTTTATTTTTTGTTTTGCTGATGTTGTTCTTTCTTCTTTGGGTTCTTTTTAACCATACGATTTCAATCAAGAGTCATTTCAGGTTCCCAGATAAATGAAGCTCTTTTGTCCCCCTGCTGTGGCTCCCTGTCAGATGAGCCCATCACTGGCTGGCCCCGCCTCTCGCCCTCCCCTCCCACTAACTCCTCGTCTGTCCTGAGAAGAGAAGGGCGATGGCGGCAGATGGAGACTTGCTCCACATTCCAGAGTGGGAGCAAAGTGCCCCTCTACTTGCCTCTTGTTCCTGCCCTTGTTGGTGCTATGCGCATCTTGCGCTAAATTTAAGTGTGCTGCATGAGACACTGCAAGGGCAGTAAATGGCTATGGAGGCGGCAAGAGGAATATGGGGAGATGTGCGACTTTCTGTCTGCCCTGAGACACCGGCTGGGCCAGCTGCAGCTGACACCGCTGCTCTCACCACCTCCATGGCTGCTCACTGCTCTTGAAGCGCCTCGCACAGCACCCTTAACCTTAGCACGCTTCACAGTGGGGGAGACTGCGTCCCCTCCTCCTCCTCCTGGAGCCCATTACAATGCAGAGCATCGGCTGCAGCCGGCCTGACCAGTGTCTCGTGGCAGAAAGTCATGCGTTTCCCCCAGTGGCCGAGGTGGGCACAGCATCAACAAGGGCCGGAAAAAGAGGCAAGTAGAGGGGTGCTTTGCTCCCGCTCTGGAATACAGAGCGAATCTCCATCCGCCGCCACCCTTCTCTTCTTAGGGCAGGCGAGAAGTGAGTAGGAGGGAAGGGAGAGGGGCGAGGCCAACCAGTAGTGGGATCATCTGACAGGGAGCCACAGGAGAGAACCAAAGAGCTGCCCTAGGCATATTACAGAAGAACAAATGGAATGCAGCTCTCCATTTCAGTTCCATATTCCTGTTCAATAAGCCAGCAGGTACAGATTAGAACAAGAGGTTCCTAGGCTGGTACAACAAAGGAAAAACATATGCATGTCTATTCAATTCCACTGAGTTAGGAGGAATTTATTCCCATGCATGTGTGGCCTTTGCAGCCTTTTTATATCCACTGCAGTTTAAATATTTACATGCTTTGTAAAATATTGTAAACCCCTATTCTACTTTTAGTATCCAGTTCTAGCATTCAGCTGAGCAAAAACTCATTTATATAAAATGACATCCAGAAGAAAAATACCTACTACAGTGCCAAACAACACAATGTTAATGGTTTAATATGCTGGGGAACCTCGCATATCCTACACAATAATGAGCTGCAATTGAAATTCATATGAATTTAAGAAAGATTGTGTCAGATCTGAAAGACCATATCTATTACAATTTTCTTTCCCCCCCCCGCACCCCACACATGAATCAGTCTGATCCAGTTAGCAATAGCAATAGCACTTAGACTTATATACTGCTTCACAGTGCTTTACAAACCTCTCTACACAGTTTATATAAAATTTTGTTTTTATGGCTGCAATCCTGCTGTCAAACTCCTGGTCCACAGGCCGGGGCATCACGCGCTGGCCATGCCCACGCCCAGCTTAGCAAATGGGGGAAAAAGTCCCGATACGTCACGTTATGCCGCCGTGACGATGTGATTTTTGACAACTCTGCACTACATTTACTGGAAAAACAGGAATGCAAAATACTATTAAGTGGAAACAAGTAATGAAGTCAATGAGACCAAAAAGAACTATTTCACTGATTTATTTGGGAGAATACTCTCATATCTCATTTTGCAGTTATTAAAGATTGATTCATATAATTTAAGAATATGTATACCATTGATTAGGTTTGCTACCTAGAATTGCAATTGGAATATGGGTAGCTATCTGAATTGATCTAATGAACAAACAAACGTCACTGATTTTCATTCATTGAAAACAGTATTTTTCAAACCTTGGATGCAATGGAAAGAAGTGATATTGTATGCACAGGGAAGAAACGGGTGCACACAGCAGCTTTGACAAAGATCATCTTCTCTCCTTAAGCAATTCCTCAAATTTGGGTATTCTTCAGATTTGTTGTACCACAACTCCTATTCCCATCAATAATTTCATGTATTGGTAAAAGACAGCAGTGTAGCTTAACTGATATGGTAGGCATCAAGTTTTGGGACACTGTGGGAGCAGCTGCATTACCCAAGCTCCAATTCTAGTATTGTTCTTCTGTAGATTTCTGTACTGTCATCACTTCTTTGAATTATATCCAGTCTAGCAAAATTACATGCAAGAATTAAGTAGCTCATACCCTCCTCTGAGGTGATGCTGATCATGCCTTACTATCTTATATGGCAGCATTCTTTCTCCCAAGTTTTCCAAATTCCTCACCACTGCTCCTCTTTCCAGCAAAGCTTCCACTGTGCGCCTCAGTGTTGCAGCTGTCTCTGGCTTTAAACAGAAAGAAAAACATACATTTATATTGTAGTCAATGATCATTTATCTTACTTTATTTACTGAAACAGAATTGGGAGGGGGAATGAAAAAATAATAAAAACAGAGAAAATGCAGTGTGTGTGTGTGTGCATGACATTTTTCATAAAATGGTTTCAGTAGAACTTATTCATATTATATTGTAATAGTTCATGTATAATTGACATTCAATTGACTCACTCATTCAAAAGTCTTCTTCTTCTTGTGCCATATCTGTCATCGGATATTGGCGAGCATATTGGTGATCCTATTTTTTTCAACAGCCACACAAAAGGCACAAGTAACAAATCTTCAATTTAATGGATAATTGGGGCCATAAATTTGTCTTCCCAATGTTGAAGAACTAATATCTTGGCAATAATTAGGGTAAAAAGAGCTTACTCACATTATTCAACTGTCAATGTCCATGTAGAACAGGGGTGTCAAACTTGTCTCGTCACGGCAGTGTCACGTGACGTATCGCAACTTTTCCCCTTCGCTAAACTGGGTGTGGCCAGCGCATGATGCATCCAGCCTACAGGCTGCAAGTTTGACAGCCCTAATATAGAAGGTAGGTATTTCAAAATAATGTGTACAAAGTCAATGGCAATTACTTTTAACTGGCTGAACTAAAAAGAAGGGGGAGAAAAGACAAGACATTAAAGCAAGGGGAAGTCCCAAAAGTTTGATTATCCATTTGCAAGAATGTATACATATTATACACATATTAATAGCGGCTTTACAAGGGGTTTTTCAAAAAAAATGTTTTTGCAATTTAATGGGATTTTAGAAAACATGTGAATGTAGACTGCATTCCTAAGTCTAACATTTCATATTCACAAGTGTAACACTCCATAGTACAAAAAACTGAAAACAACTTCTTCTTAGGTCCGCTTTAGTATAAGAAAATTCAATTAAGAGAGGAATTCAATATTTTAGATCATGAAGAGGAATTGTCTTGAGCTGCACATAAAATATATATATAACATTAATCACATAATAATATTAAAGATTATTATTTTGTGAAGCTGCATTAGCTATCCAGGGCAGCATGTGGTTCATGCCTATTTTATAATCTGATGTGAAAGAGGAAACAGATATTTAAATAATACTCTAAAGAAACAAGGTTATATTTTATCATACACGTAATGTTATTGTCTATAGCAGGGGTCTCCAACCTTGGCAACTTTAAGGCTTGTGGACTACAACTCCCAGAGTTCCTCAGCCAGCAAAGCTGGGAGTTGAAGTCCACAAGCCTTAAAGTTGCCAAGGTTGGAGACCCCTGGTCTATAGCATCTCCATTCAACTTCAAATAGGTGCGTGTTTCTTTAAGCTTTTAAACTGAAACATTTAACAGAATCTTGCTGTGTCAGACCAAAGATAATCTAGTATAAGATTGAGATGTTTCAAGATAGCAACAACAATCTGCTCCTCAGCATTTCCACCATATATCTATTGCTCTCTTTGAACCAGGAATTACTTGTTACTTGTAGCTTAATCACTACTTCGGGTTCTAATTTTACCCATCTTCCAAAATAATGCAAGCTAGAAACTATCACATCTTCAATCTACCAACTAAATGAGTTTTGCCCCATTTTACAACTTTTCTTGCCACAGTTGTTGAGTGAATCACTGCAGTTAAATTGGGGGTGCTGTAACGGTCATAAGTGTGAAAAATGGACATAAGTCACATTTTTCGGTGCCGTTTAACTTCAGTCACTAAACAAATGGTTGTACGTTAAGGAGTACCTGTATTTATAATAAAGTATCTAAATATTTTCTTTCCTTTTTTTTAAAGGTACAACTTACTGCAGCTGTAAATTTCACCCCATCTTTCCCAGCTCTACAATATCCTTTCTGGATAAACCAGCCAGGACTGTAAATATCTGAGTACTACTGAGAGATATTCAGTACTCCCGTTTCAACTCCTTTGTGACCCATAAGGAATTTGCCCTTTTCCTAACTGTTGCACTTGAGTTGTAATTTTCATTGAACTATCCAACATGATCAAGTCATTTCATAATTAGTCAAATGCTAGTTTAATACCCACCAGTGTTTATGTACTATCAGAATAAGCAAGCTATGACCCCAGTTCCCATTTCTATGAGAATTAGAAACCATTCTAATTGGAAAAAAACACACAATTAGAATCAGCAGATTGGTTGCCCACCATTTAGAAAAATGAGTAGGAATGTTGTGCTATTCTTATTTACTGTCCTTAATCTCTCAAAAACTTGTAATAGCATGGACCACAGCATCTCTTTAGGATGGGTCAGCAAGTTGACAACTAAAGACGTGTTGCAGTGTTTGTATTCCTGCCTGCAGAACCATACTCAAAAAAGGACAGGAGAACCTCTGTTCAATATCATGGCAATCGTGCAGGGAATTCAATTTGATCTGATCTGCCATGGCGCCGAAGCCTATATGAAGCCATTGGGAAAGGCTGTACAGAAATTTGAATGAGATGGACAAATGCCTCCCAGGCAAATGAGTATAAGAATGCTTGTGGGATGTGAAAAGCCAGGTGAGGCCAACTGCCTGAAGATGAATCACAGTAAGATTATCAGTAGCCTGGAAGTTCATCATCTCCAAGCAGTTCTTCTTTTCAGAAACTGTCCTTAAGCCAATACTACATGGGGGGACACTTGCCCTATAGAAACAAGTACAGGATATATGGCTACTCTTGGATTCCAAATAATCACTGAAAGTACCTCGGTAAGGAGAACCTAGGCGCAGCTTCAGATAGTGAGTCCAATTTAGCAATTATGGATGAAAATAGTCTATCCTATTTAAAAAGCTAACCTCAATTCCAGAGATTAGAATATCATTTTTCTTTTCACTGGAATAGCTTTTGACCCACCCAGAGCAGGCTGGTCTCAGTAACTCCTCCAATTCTATTATCTATGATAATAAGGCATAGTGTTTTCCATGTGTTTCCACCTCCAACTGTTATTAGAAAAGCAGTTTATCTGCTTTAACTATTCACAATAAAACATATGTAGAAAATACTATGCATACATTTTGATGTGAAATACATTTAAAAAGATTCAATAACCAAGTTGAAGTGTTCAAACTAATTTAGTAAGAAGCGACCAATCTTTTAAGGGTGAAATATGCATGTTTTTAGATTTTGCTAATTCTCAGCAGCCCAAACCACTAGTGGGTTTCAAAGTGGTTTGCCACCAGTTTGGTGGGTGTGGTTGGGTAGGCGCGTTTTGCGCACACATTTTGCACACACGCACCAAACACATGCTTTGCGCATGTGCAGAGGCTTTCCTATTCACCTCCTGCAAGCTCCCTGTCTTCAACAGCTGGCACGCAGCAATCTGCTATGCCACAGAAAGCAGCTGTGCTTCAAAAGCAGGAAATAAAGCTCAATATGGGAGCCCAGGCGGGCCCAACAGCAGATCATCTGAGAACTAGTTTGGTCTGAGCTGATCTTGGGAGCTACCAGCTTGGCAGAACCGGGCTGAACCAATAGCATCCCACCTCTGGCCCCAACCAACATGGTCCTACAAGGCAAATACTGGAAGTGGCCCACTGGTTTCTGGCCTCTTCCCTAAGTCAATTAGAGAATTTATTTTCCATATTTGGATTTGCCCCAATTGTGTTTCTCACTTGGTCTCGAAATTCTACATGTTTTTTAAGATATTCTCTTTTAAGGTAGCCAGATCTCCTAAATATTGATTTGAATGAAGTTAGTTATATGTAGCAATCATATGTTTCAGTTTAAACTAAATTTGATGCATCACATAATGGTCTTTGATTCAAACTGAATAAAAAGTAGCAGTCTGAAAAAATGTATGTCCTTCCATTGTCTAAACTGGAATATCATAAATTGTTCACATAATCTCTTAACAAAATTGAATAAAAATGCCAGACACAGCAGACTCTCAAGAATATTCACCTATTAAGTTTATTTCATAAACTTCTAAGATTGAGATCATTTCAGAAATACTTGTATTTTTGTACTTTTTATTTAAACTTTGTACAGAAGTTTTAAACATTTCTACACAGTAACTTGGACAGGACAAAATTCTATATTCAAAAAATGTAAACTGCAAGAAATACAGTTTTAATTATACACTCTAATAAGAGTTTCATGTTGAAGACTAATTCAGGAGGCAAAAATACAGATACATTTTGTTAGGTGACTTATATTCCTAACAAGTATACAACAAGCAAAATACATACAACTGGCAGTGAGAACAGAGTTCTCCAAAACAGTTTTTTTTCCATATCATATTGATAGTGTTATATAAACTATTCATTCTATGACAAACTGTGGTAAAGATTGTAGCAATGTTCCATCAAGAAATATTCATTTCGTTAACATTTCTAGATCTATATTCCTACTGTAATAATTCTACTTCATTGAATAATGTGTCCTTTATCAACAGATCATGGGACATTTAAGATTTTTTATTTAAGACATCTAGAAGAAATTTTATACATATTTATGCCTAGTTGGTCCATTTTCCCCTAAAGTTTAAAGACTTGACATGTTACACATTACCATTTTAATCTTTTGCTCTGTGAAATCTTTTAAAAAACTATTGATTTATAATTTACACACATTATAGGAAATACAACAGCAACAAAACAAGATATCGAACATATTTTTTAAAGTATACTTATATATCCAAAGGGAAAGAAAAATTAGCATCACACTGACACTGTATTTAAAACTCAAAAGGATGAAGAAAAAGGTATTTACTTAATAAAAGAATTTGCTTTCTTCTTGAAGAAGACTACTAGTTTTGGAGGTTTTTTTTTTGCACAGCAACTATTTTTATATCCACCTCATTTAAAAGCATGCGTTCATAAATACTTATATTGTCATATGTCATTGCCATCATTGCTCAGTACCTGACTTTGCCCATGAAGAATCTTACAGAAAAGCAAGGTCGTTAGAGTGCTATGGAATATTTTACACAAAATCAGACCAAAAATGAAGTATTTTTTGAAAAACAAAACAT